TTCATTTGTATTTTCATTCTATCATTTGACGCTGTTTCATCTACTTGCCGACAGTGTTCTTAAATAAGCCACGACTAAACACATACTGATGCCTCTTAAGTTGTCACCGGCAACAAGAAATTGTCTACCGGGCAAAATAATTTGTCGTGATTTTTAAGGCTGACGGACGAGTAATTTTAACTTGACATAAGAAGTTTGCTTGTTAACATGTTCTAAACACATCTAATAGTGGTACGAGTAGTATTAAAATATAAATTATATGATCCTTTGGAATCGTAAAATGTGCCATGCCAGCTTCAAACTCTTTCAATATTTGAAGATTACCGTCTTCTGGGATATTACTCCGTGTAATCTGGTGGAAGTATACCGATGTTTCAGAGATGCTTACTTACGTCTAAAGGTGACGACTGAATTGTAACATTTGCCTGTAATGTAACGTGTTACAAATCGAGCATTACACAAGTGAAGACAGCGAACGGAGCCGCTCGATGCGAGCCGCTCACGCTCGCCGGCGCTCCATCATGTTGTCGGTTTTTTCGCGAATCCCTTTGAGTGTTACGTTAAAAGTCAGTCAGTCAGTCGAGCGTCGTCGTAACGAGCATTCACGAGTTCTTTAGATAACAGTAGCGTATTAAATGAAACAAAGATAACACAACCTCCACGTCCGACATATTGAATGAAATGAATGGAGCACACACGAGCACAGTCGAGCCGAGCGTTCAAAACGAGCATTCGATACGCCTCACCAGTTGTGGTGTAATGTAACATGCTCGCCGCGAATGTTACATTACGAGTAAATGTTATAAGTCAGTCGCCACCTTCAAACGTAGGCAAACGTCTAACAGACTACACGACACAACATCCTACAAGACCTAAAATCTCATCTTTTAATGCTTATTTAGGTATAAAGTAATCGAGACATGGAGTTGCTGAACCATGTGAAGTTTACTTTCTATTCGTCGGAGTTGAGGTCCGTGGCCCAAATATCGGCTCGGTCGTACCGACTGAAATATTTCATATTTTTTCCTTGACTTATCGACGCAAATGCTAGGTTGTTATATTAAAACAGGTTACTATCTCTTTCAGTTCCGGGTTAGCTCATTCAGTATAGTGACTGACTGCGGACTGGACGACCGGGGTTTGATCCCCGACAGGGGCAAAGGATTATTCCTCTAGCCTCTACATTCAGACCGAGTCTGGGGCCCACCCAGCCTCCTATATAATGGTTACCGGGTTCTGTTCCCGGGGGTAAAGCGCGACCGGGGCGTGACGCTAACCACTCACCCCCATCTAGTGCCAAGGTTAAGAATTAGTAGGAGCTATATCATCTCTCCTCCCAAGTGCCTACATGGCGTACAGCGGGACAGCTTTACTTTACTTTACTTTACTTTTTACTGTCTTTTTCATTTACACGCCTATTAACGAGGTCATAATTCGTAAGCTTCCTGCCGTTGGACACAATCCTATACATTTGAAATTGTCATCAAATGAAGCAAGAACCAATTGAAGACATGTTTCTTTCTGTACACGAGTTTGGATGAAAGTGGATGGAACATTATAATGCAATTCTTGACAGAGAGAGAGAAAGGGTTTCCTGCAGCTTTAATAATGGCACTGACACACTTACAGGAGGAAAGGGACCCACCCCCGCGGGCATTGTCCCCCAGTGGACAACCAGTGGACAGTGAAGCGTGTATGGCTTGATGGGCAATAATCCCGGACAGTCATTAGGTTTTCTTGTGAGTGTGGCTGTAAATCAGTTAATAGGTTCATTCAGTACCATTGAAATAATTATCTGTAAATAATTCTGTTATTCAAATAAGCTACTGTTCTTCTAATTTAATTTGTTAATATATTGTACACTCTCAAGCCAATCGTGGTGGCAGTGGCCAGCAACTTTGTAACGCCTGATGATATCGGAGCTCTGTGTCCGTGTCCTACAAAGGAATCGGATAGCTCTGACTATTGACTTTTCTCAAGGAGTGATCCTCCAATCTAGTCTGACGACCTGAGGTTGGCGTTTCCAGTTTGTTAACACCGACTGAAATGCCGGTAATCTGTAGTCTTTGGTAAATTAACGTGTTTGAGCGATAAGGTACGTGCCTGATTTGTGTTTGGGAGGAAACCAGGAGACAGGCTATCAGACTCAAGGATTCCATGGTCTTCCGTAGACCCTCCAGGTAGCTGTGGTCCTTCGGTTTTCGCGGCCTGAGTTTAATGTGTAGCTTCGGCTTTCGACGAAAATTAGGTTCCTGGGTTTCAAAGGCGCGTCGTACAAAAACGACAAATACAATATTGCTAATTAGCTTCTTCGAGAGACAGAACATCCCGGAATAGGTATCAACTTCCTCTAAGTCGAAAATTACGCAGAGGGGTGTCAAAATTTATACATCGGCACGTTTATTCCAAATGGAGCGTCCTATAGAAAAGTAGTAAATATAATAGAAAGTTCTCTTGGAATTACAATCTTCGAGGCGTTACTGATTTTTTTTATTTATTTTGAAGATTAGGCAGAGGGGTGTCCAAAAACGTATACTTCGATGAAGCTTAAAAATATGAAAGTACAAAATAATTTTTCTTGTAGATATAATCAGGGAAAGTTACTTTTGTTTTCAAGAAGATGGCTGGCGTTGGTGAAAATTGCAAATACGTTATACAATTTTCATTTCAAACAACTCAAGATTACTCAACGGTCCATCGTAGTAAATGATGTATATTTTGGATTTATGCTATTGAATTGCAACAGAAATTGCAAGGACAGTATAATCTTATTTCATTGTTGCTGAAGTATTATTTTTGGTGATCGAAGCAGCTTTGGGAAATTTTTCTCCAAGGCTCTCCCATTTTTCTCCTGTTATCCATTTTTACCATTAACATTAGACTCACATTTTATATATAGGCCCCGATGCGTGGCCTCTAGAATATCCAAAATGCAACGGTGAACGACAGTCACCTATCAATCTGGAGTCGGATGAGATGTATCGACTAGTGGTGGCGGATCGACTCCAATGGCACGGGTACTGGGATCGACCCCGGAATCTCACCCTCACAAACAACGGACATACAAGTAAGCTTGTCATTGTGTAGAAACTAAAATCTGGCACCAGCGGCCATAAATTGGAGATAACGGATCTGTTTGTATTTTCAGTTCAAGTTTCGGGCAATTGGGAAACAGCGCCGACTATATCAGGCGGACCCCTCGAGAGTGAATACTCATTTTCTCAACTGCATTTCCACTGGGGCTCCAATGACAAGATAGGAAGCGAACACACAGTCGGCAATGTCAGGTACCTGACTTATCAGTATCTCACTCTCACGGTGAATTAGAAATTGGTATCAGCTTCACTTTGAAGGAAAAGATAGCGTTGATTTCTTGAAACATTTTTATCACCATTAATGATAAAATCCCAGTTTCTATACCATGATAAATATTCCGTGTCTGAGAATAAAGTTATGATTCAAAATTAAAATGCAAATTTATCATTTTGCAGGTCATAGAATTGTAGATAAGTAGTTATTTGTTTATTTTTGTGAGGAAATTATTTTCCAGTACGCCGACGATTGGGCATGCTAGTTAAATGGCTGATTAACGTTTCACGTATGGGCCTATGTCATTTATATTGTTTGCAAGGGCAGATCCATCTGTGATCTGGCAAGTAATGTTACTGAAAATTCCAGCCAGAGACGGAAATAGCCATCTTTGTGTCTGAAAATGTCGAAGACTTGTGTGTTTACAGTTCCAAAATATAATACTGTGGCAGATATATTTAACGTATAGCCTTATCTTTTATACTTACATCTGTGTTCGGCCAAGTTGGTTAATAAGCGCGTAATCCGTAGCCCGATCCACACTGGAAATATGTTTGACAGATATATTTTTTATTTCAAACAAATGCCGTAATTGTTGTCGGAGCGCCATTTTCTCATCTTCACGCTGGAAGCTGTCAGTTCTCTATCGCCCCGTCTCGCGTCTCTAAGTTACAACGTCTGGTTTATTTGCTGATATTATTTTATAAACTTGTACGGTTGTATTTTAACAAGTTTCACGATAGTTTTAACTAGAATTTTTAATATATATGTTTATCGTTAACTTCCGCATTTTGCTACAATCAACATTATTACGAACTTTGTTCTAGAATAGTTTTTGTATGTCTTGTTTTGTTTTCTTTTAATTATATTCATTTAATTTCTTGTGCTGACTCTGTAATTGGCGTCTGTAGCTGTTCAATTAGCACGTTAAAATAAAGAATTAAATTAAGCTTAAGTATTAATAACCTTATCATAGGTGCGCTGTTATATGATGGTTTCATTAATGAGATGTAACAGATACATCTGACCCTCCCATTTCCGATATATTAATCCGATTTTCAGCTCCGTCGTTAATTTATGTTACATTCACAGAGTTCAGCTTTCACCAATTTCTTGAGGATTACTATTCATTCCAGTTTTCCAATGGAGATGCACTTGGTTCATTACAAGAAGGCGTACGGGAGCCAAGACGAAGCTGTTAAGTACGAGGACGGTCTGGCCGTGGTCTCCTTCCTCTTCCAGGTATATTGACCTCAGTAGTGAAAATAAAGAGGTTCTTAAAAACAGGACATTGGTAGGTCTACGGATTATAAGGAATACCCCCCCCCCTTTAATGAATGAGACAAAGATACTTTAATAAACTAAACCATTACATACTTCAGCATCGGCACTTGGTGAATCAGTGAATCTATTGTAGGTGTTCAAAATGACCACCGTCAGCTTCGTGGAACAGTTGACAACGATGGGTAATTGAAAGGCGGCCAACAAAGTTTCTGCTGTGTTTACGTCTTTTTCTCATATTCTGTGGATGTTACGACAAGGGCAGAGCGTTTATGTTAACCGTGTTTGCCCGGCTAACACGTTAAAGAACGAAGAATATAAAGACTTATTTTCGCGGTTCATTGGTACTCCACACACTGGAACACAGCAGAATTTTTATTTAGTGTTCTGTCTGCCGACAGGTCCATATGAACAGGATCCTTCCATCCTTTTCTCGGACTGGGACCTGTTCATATACGTTCTTGGCAGATGATCCAGAAGTGGTTTGCCATTGCCTTCTTCTGTGTGTGAATGGAGTAATTGTTGGGATGCCCGGAGGAAAACTCCGTGTTGCCTAGACCACGGCCTTGCCCAACACAAGTTATAAATTCGGGCACCGCCGGGAATCGAACCCGAGACCCCAGGATTACAAGGCCAGCGTTCTAACCGCTAGACCACCATGGCTATAACACAGCAGAATAGATCACATAAAATACATCGTTAACCAACTTCAACCACGCCATCGCAGGCGAGGTCAGTCATATCATTCAGGCTTTTTTACGCGGGAGACACGATATAGTATAGGTTTAAAGTGAAGAGGAATTTCATTATCTTCCAAGCTAAAATGTTAGCCAAGCCTCATCTGCTAACACGCTAGTCACTAGAGTACTGATTTTGACGTAGCCCGCTGTTGCACATTTCTCGCGATTCTAGTTGCAAAAACTTTGTTGTATAATCCTTTCCAAAACCTAATATTCACCACACTAACAAATAACATATTTACTGTTTTTAACGCTTCTTAAGTACCAAATAAACTTATGTGATCTTAAAGCCCTGAAATTGGCTGTTGTGTTGAGAGGGGCAAGGAGCGAACATTCAAGATAGAAAGTGCAGGGAAAAAATTCAGTTCAATACGTAGGAAGTGTGCTAAGCTGAGACTTGCGACTTATTTCAAATCCCAAATAAACTTCACTCTTTATGTAGTTACACTTTCTAACTCGTCACGAAGTAGTCAAAATATGTTTCTTCGTGTATATTTGTGTGCAAATGATCACTATTTAGAAGCAAGATTTGAGAACTCGTTTTTATTTAAATATTTTAATATGTATTTCCTCACTCTTATCTTAAACTCAGACCTGGTTCAAACCTCTGGTTTCCCCAATCATTTCTTCTGGCACATAAAATACCAACATGTCCTGTAGTTTTTCAGGCTAGTGCCAAGAAAATTTTCACCACGTGTCGATCATCCATTCAGCTGCATTTTTCTCCCTCTTACAGCTGAGTGAGTGGCCGAACCCTGGACTTAACGCCATCATCCCATTCTTGGACGCGATGGTGGGGGCCGAATTGGAAGTGACCCTAGTGCGTCCGTTCCCTCTAGAAATTCTAGACGTCTCGTTCCCCTCGGAGTACGTCACGTACCTGGGGTCCCTCACGACCCCGCCGTGCAGCGAGGTCGTCACTTGGATCGTGTCTTCACGTCCGCTCACCTTATCTCACGAACAGGTGAGGCGAAATATCTACTGCAGTAGTTCTGAAAGTTGCGTGTTTTATTGCTGGGTTTGTAGTCATATCGCGAGTGTTCCTAACACAACAGATAATTTAATTTACACTTCAGTGGTAAATATTTGTACCGTTAGCTTTATCGTACAATGTCTCGGCATTACTTCCAAACGTTGCTTTGATTCTCAGAACAGACTTTTTTTTCCTAAACCGTCAAGAAATTCACTGTCGCTTATGGAACCCAAAGATTTGCCGTGTTTACAAGAGCCCGCCACCAGTCCCAGTCCTGAGTCTCAGTTCCTGCAGGCAAATTCTAGCACAATTCATTAAATTAAGCTACGACAACTTCTTTCCTCATAATTCATCAATTCATGTTTATTAATTATCCCATCATTCATCTGAGCTACTAACAGCATCATTAAATAAAGCACGTACAATTCCATCGTCACATTACATTTCTCTAAGAACCATTTTAATATTATACTTTCATATACGCCTAGATTTTCGATTACTCTGGCCTATAGACACTAATGACTTTTCAAGTTCGAAATGTCATCGGTCGTTTCAAAGAATACATTCAAGTCTGTTTCCCTGTGTAAGGTTCTAGAAAGGATGCAGTTCTTAGAATACGTTTGTGATAACTGAAATATAAATGGACTGAAGGAACTAATGGTGTGACAAGAGACTATATGATCAAAAGCAGGAATACGGTTCCTGGAAATTTCTTCTGTACGTATTTTATTTCATTTATAGAATATATAATTTTAACACGTTCCATAGGACCGTTGCGTTAATGCAGTGCGCGGTTATAAAAAGTGAGAGCCAGAGAAGTTGTGTTTTAGCGTAGAGTGTCTCAAGGGCAAGAGAGTAGAGTCCCTGGAGGGATGCTGGCGGCTGTCTTCGGACCGGTTCCCGAGAGTTGCCTGCCGCAACAGGTGATGGAAGAACTGGGTTATCGAACTTTGACCTAGTCAAGACATTGTATTAGACTAACTAGGGAACGTATATTTAGTGTCTCGGGAGCAGATGGGGTGGTGATGCCTGGGCTGTGCGTGTCAGTACATGGCCCTACTATCTTCATGACTCGAATATTACGGGGATTATCGCCCGGGTTCCATTGTAATTTATATCCAAATATCTGTGGTTTAATTGGGTCCCGGGATGAATATAGCTGCTTTACTGGCGCGCTCCAAATGGGCCACTGCCTTGTACTACCTTCCCTCACAAGTCACTTCCGCTGTCAACAGACAAACAGAATGGACGAATCAGCAGTCAGGAGCTCGCAATCGACGTATTTTAATGTGTTCCTGTTCGCAAAGTACTTTTAAAATGTCTGTTCAAAAATATTTCTACTTAAATGGTTGTGAAAGAAATTACCAGCCAGAAATGAAAATAATTATTATGCAATAAGAAATTTAAATTCCACTATCATATAGTGTTAATTACACTGTGCACGAAGATCAGTGTTGCCGGTGACACCTAAAAGTGGACGAGGTGTTAACTAAGCTCAAAGTTAAGACGTTACTCGACGAAGACCTTCGCTTAGTCAACGATCAAGTTACAAATGTCGTATATGTTTCCTTGGGATCCTGTTCATATGGACCTGTCGTCAGACAGAACACTAAATAATAATAAGATGAGGTGGTCTAGCGGTTAGAACGCTGACCTTGTAATCCTGGGGTCTCGGGTTCGATTCCCGGCGGTGCCCGAATTTATAACTTGTGTTGGGCAAGGCCGTGGTCTAGGCAACACGGAGTTTTCCTCCGGGGGCTTCCCCGGTTTCTCCATGGCATCCCAACAATTACTCCATTCACACACAGAAGAAGGCAATGGCAAACCACTTCTGGATCATCTGCCAAGAACGTATATGAACAGGTCCCAGTCCGAGAAAATGATGGAAGGATCCTGTTCATATGGACCTGTCGTCAGACAGAACACTAAATAATAATAATATAATTTACTAGACGATGGATAATATCCAAGAAAATTTTTATTCAATTGACTCTTCACCATCGTCAAGAAGTTTTAGATTTGATATACGAATCTTTAAGTTTTATTTTCATTGACAATAACAGTTTGCGTTGCTGCCTCTAGTTTTCTATACCAATTACCTACAATCCATGACCTCAAAAATAACCATTACATACATCTCGCGTGTTTTCTATTGTTGCATAAAACATCCTCTTCGATTGGCAATGCATTTCGAAGCATGATCAACAAGTGTGCAGTGCTGAGTGAAACAAAACTTTTACGCCGGTTCTGAGGCAGTTATCCACCAAGCAGTGCACGTAGTGAAGCCAGCAGCTGCAGTTAAACGTTGTCTGTCCCATCTAAGTATGCCAAGCAAGGTGGAGAAAAATCCAGAACGTAGAATTATCGTTTCAGGTTAAAACTTTCGCGTGATTTCCGTCGTGACCGACAGACACGTTTTCACAAGGAAATTGAAGTTGCTTCTACTTTGCGTTGTGTCGCGTCTTCAGTTTGAGGGTGGGGTTTATTAACCAACAATCGATACTGTAATATCTGGCGATCGATTAGAATACATAGAGGAGAAATATATATTTATTATCACAGTCTATACACAAACGTATTTAAAATGTTGTTGTTAAAATTTATATAACACTATAACATCTGTAGTATAAAATATTACAATAAGTTATATTATGTTATATTATGGCGCTTTTATCGTAGTATGGTGTTACATTTATTATGGCGCTTATTATTAATTGTACGACATGTTTCGATGTTTTATGACATCATCTTCAGGTTTTATATCGTCATTTTTATCATTTTAAAACTATTATATATTTCGATGCAATGCATTTATTGATTTATAGGTATATTTGTAGATATTTCTGTCTTCATAATACTCTGCATGTCTGTAGTTAGACGTTATATATTTGGTTTCAACACAAACATGACGCACTTAAGCTACAAATTATAGAGGAGAAACTTCATAATTTCACAAATGTGTTGCTTGTGCATAAGTTAAACCATTATTTTGTTAACTTATATTTTAATTAAAACTCGATTTACGAGTTTCTGGCCGATATCGAGAGCAAGGTTTTGTAATCTGCGATATATATTTTTTTTATTTTTTACTTTATAAGATAGGATTTGTAGTGTCTTATTCAATTGCCACGTGAACTTCGAGACACACAGAAGTCCCCGTTTTATTTGTCGTGTACATTGTATAAGAGAATTTATTAGTTCCCCTCACAAATGGGAACTGACTATAAGGCAAGTAGCTTCCTGCTTTATCATTCAAGTTCGTTTCATGTTCACTGTACAAGTTGTTCCACATTGGCGCTATTTAATCCATCTTATATCTTTAAAGCGTAATCTAAGATGTAGATCACTACTTCATCATTTGATGTGAAAATTATCGCGGCGTAAGAAAGGCCCTGTTTTCTTGTTCATTGTCTCACCATTAAGAACCTAAAACATGTGATAAATCTAATAAAATAAAGAGATAAAGACACATGATACTAAGATAGAAGATAATCGACTCTAACGTTTCGGCATAAACAAGTTGCAATGGCGTTTGTAACATCTACTGTAATAAATACTCATCAGACCACTACTTCAGCTCGAGAAATATCTTCGGGGTCCAATAAGTTCATTCTCAATATTTCAAAACACTCTCTTACAAAATCAGAGGAAGCTGTTCTTCAGAAGGGGCTCAATTTTGCATTGAGTAGGACTAGGTTCAAGCTGGACATGGCAGTTGCTGCTGAATCTGTTAAATCCAAACTTCCCCCTACTGAGGGAATGGAATTCAGTTGGAGAATTCGGTCAATGTTGGAGAAATCGAAACCACCAACATCTAATAGAGAACTGTACTGTAGTGATGGATAATTTTATTTATAAACAAAAGATTTTGAGTCTGTTACAGTCTCGTGTCTATGAACCTTTAAAGAAGGACCCTACATCCCAAGTGGAGAGGAAGATACAGAAGATCCTTTCTAAGCACAAATCTGTCCTTGCTACCGACCTGAAACGTAGATTGACACCATACCACAGTAAACCTCCTTATCTGTATGGCCTTCCTAAGATACACAAGCCAGATATCCCCCTCAGACCGATCGTGAGTTCTATTGGTTCACCTTGTTACGTCCTTGCGGGATTCTTGCACAAGATTTTGGTTCCTCTGAGTAATAGCACGGAATCATTCGTTAAAAATTCGGAACATTTTATACAACTATTGAAGGATGTCCATCTTCAAAGTGGAGATATACTGGTTAGTTTCGATGTAGTCAGCCTATTTACCAACGTACCAGTGGAAGAGGCCCTGTTTGTCATCAAGGAAAAACTTCGTAGGGATTCTACCTTGTCGGACCGGACATCATTACAGGTTGATGACTTGGTGGAACTGTTAGAGATATGTTTGACCACTACCTACTTTCAATATGAAGATAAATTCTATCAACAAAAGGAGGGAATGGCGATGGGGAATTCGTTGTCGCCTGTCGTTAGTAATATTTATATGGAGTATTTTGAAACTTTGGCTTTAGACACAACTGATCACAAACCAGACACTTGGTTGAGAAATGTGGATGATACATTTGTGGATTGGCCACATGGTCCAGCGAGATTGCAGGAATTCTTTCACCATCTTAATAGTCTCAGGTCGTCAATACAATTTACCATGAAGATGGAAAACAATGGTACTATTCCGTTCCTGGATGTTTTAGTCATGAAGAATGGTTTTAGTTTACTTACGGATGTTTATAGGAAACCCACACATACTGGTCGATATTTAAATTTCAAATCTAATCACCCACTCCACGTTAAGTCCCAAAAAAACATCCGGCGTTCTCCTGGCAGAACGCCTCTGGGTACGGCGGTTATCCCATATGTCAGAGGTGTCTCAGAAAAATTTAGAAGAATTGGAAACCGTTACAATATCAGGACAATCTTTAAAACCGGTCACACTCTCCGTCGTTTATTGAGTTCCATGAGACCCAAAACAGTCGCGAGACAGACTAGGCAGTGTGTGTATGGAATACCGTGTGTTTGCGGTAGAATGTATATCGGCGAAACCAGCAGACCTCTGGAGGTACGCTTAAAGGAACATAAATATAACTTCAGACAGGGCCTGCTGGAGAAATCCAGATTGGCCCAACATGCGTACGAAGAAGACCATCAAATCTGTTGGGATGGAGCCAGAGTGTTATTAACAGAACCCAATACCATCTACAGAAAATACAAGGAGGCGGCACACATGGCACTACTTGTCAATCCTATCAGCCAGCCTAGTTTGGATTTATCTCCTATTTGGATACCTGTAATCTCCGAAGAAATCCAAGCTGGGCATCGAGTTTCGAATTAATATTCATGTGTATTTATTCCCACCTTTTGTGACTTTTCATTAAGTCTGTTATATATAACAGTACCAAGACATTTCTCCTCTCGTAAATGTGTATACTTAATCAAATTATGAACCTCTAGCAGGTAGCATCAGCATTAGGCCCCTGGGGTTTTCAAAACGTGCTCTACACCAGTGGTATTCAACCTTTTTTGTTCGCGTACCCCCAGATATAATTTCTCTTCAACTTTGTACCACCAAAGTTGTTGGTGTATAATTCAAGTTATACGTAGTATATAATCTACATCTAAAATAAATTAAATAAATTACATTACTGATTATTCAGTGTTTATAATAAAATAATTTTTAAAAAAATTTCACGTACCCCAGGTTGAATACCACTGCTTTAGATAACATCGTCATACGTTCTTTGCAAAAACCACATAAAATTAACTCACGATGGAAATCCCTGCCCGCGTGTATCTGTTACAACATAACTTAGCATATTTTGTTGGAATACTGTATGAGGTAAAAATTGTCTAGGGAGTTCGTAGTTCGGTGCCTGTTCATTATAACTCTCACCTTTAAGCGATGTTCAAACTGATCTGTCATAAACGGTTCTTGGTGTAAGAGTGTGATATACGACACAAATAATGTCTATTATCTATAACTTTTATTTAAACCGGCTTTCATTGCGTATAGTAGTAACAAGCCTGCTGAAATTTAACTGAAATTGTTCCTTCGTGTTTTAATTCATGCCCGTCTTTCTACCTTCAACTATTCCTTTCTAACCTTAATTTTTCCCGTCATTTCTCTCGTATGACGTCATTCTTTCCTCAATCCCGTTTTGACTTTCATTCCCTTTCTTTTTTCTCTCATACGTATTTCTTCTGTTCTTTATCTCTTTCATAATTTTCCCTCATTCTCTCATGTCTCCCTTATCCCTTCCCAGTCTCTTCCACATATTAACCTCGACTTTTCTTGTAGTTCCTGGTTTAAATAGTCTCTTTTTAGTTTATACATCGCATCGTCTATATGAATTTTAATTGTTATATCATGTACTCGTTGAATTTGAATATCCATAAGAACTTGTACCATCGAAACGATCATATTGAAGTTTTATAAAACCATTACACATTACCATTACCCAGTAATCGCTTGGTCCTTGTACGGAATCTGTTGCTATGAAACGTCAGTACTAAGAAAGTTTTATATCTGCCGTATTTCATCTTTGAAAACGTTTTCCTCGTCGTCCGCTTCGTTTTGTAGTTATGCTAATAGATGTCTCTGAATCACAGTGGTGAAAATGGCGCTGTCTAGTGAGTAATAAACCAAGTGCAGTTACTGCGTTTTTGTTTGCAAGGAAAGTTGCACAGATTGCCATTTACCAACGAATGAAAGTTGTTTGTTGTAACGTCTTCCGGTAATTATTGTTGCGATATGAACGCGAAGGCGGATAATTCTTATGCAATATTATCACCGGGGACGGCATTTGGGTGCATAATTTCGAGCCTGTGAATAAGAAACAGATTCTACCTCAATGTTTCGCACCTTCTGTTGGCAGTCTTGTACACTGCTTTCTGAGACATTAAAGACATAGAGCATTCGGAATTCTTGCCAAATGGTGCCACCATTAAATCTACCGCTCCGTTAGAGCGTTGAAAAAATTGAAGACACGTATTCGAAGAGGTCTTCCTGAAATGCGCCAGCTCCTCCTGTGAGGTCTCATACGACTGCAGAGATGATTAAGCTGAGAAGTAACTGTTTAAAACTAAAGAATGACTTTACTCCATGTAGCAGAGTGTTTTTTGAGAAGCTAATCAACAAGTTCCCTACCTTTTATAGAATCAGGAGATTCATTATCGTGTTCAGAAGAATCCGCCATCGGTCTCTGTCCTGATCCATACGATTAGATCCAAACCCCTAAACCAAATTTCCTTGAGATGTTTTCATTGTCCTCCCATTTACGCCTAGGTCTTCCGAGTAGTCTCTTCCCTTCAGTTTTTCCAACCAAAATTTTATACGCATTTCTAATCTACCTTTTTCATGCTATATGACCTGCAAGCCTAATGCTGATGAACTCTCTCAGCAGAAACCTGTGAGGTGTACAAATCTCTACCACTGATTGACTATATCAACGACAGAATTTTGTCTACGGTAAATAAAATCAAAATCAATGAGGAATTAAATCATAAAGGTCGATTTTTTATTATGTTTTTTTTTAAATCTCTGGAAACATCTGTTTTACAGTCTAACGTTTATTTATCCCTCACGTGGGAAGGGACATGAACTCATGAGCTACGTTTTGCCTTTAGCTCGCCAAATTCCGGTACCTGAGCTCAGCAGACGGTGAGCTGGAGAACAACTTCAGGCCTGTGCAGCCAACCAACGGGCGACCTGTGTTCTACGTGACCTGAGATAAAGCGGCCAAATGCTGCTTGGTGTTCTAATTTATTTGTACTCACACTTGGTAGTAACGAAGAGAAAATATATTTTACGTGTATTTACTTAGTCTTTGAAGCCCTTTTAGATGACTGTTGTATGTACAAGATTCGAAACCTTTCGTACAATGAGATTTTACTTTCAAATGATTGAACGCTGCTTGTAATAATTACTGAAGCTCTGTGGTCAATCATTCGCTTGAATGGGATGATATTTGATCTATTTTCAATATGATGTTGCAGTAAAGATAAACACGGTCACAGATTCGACTAAAAACCTTCATTCTCACTGCGTCAAATATTTCAATGTAACGTTTTAAGTGCCTACGTTTGACGGATTTGGTTCCTAAAAACTTCAACTCATTCATATTCTGCGATGGATTGTAAGAGCTTTGTCTCTTGTACTGTACATAGTCAAATCGAAATATTTGTAAGTTATAATCTATGTTAATAGATACAAAATGTTGTTATGTTTTGTTTTATAAAAATATAAAAATGAACTTCCACATTCTCGTAATTTAAAAAAGTACTTGCATTACCTTCGTAAAGTTGGTCCGTTTCCATTTGTAGTCAAATCCTGTTCTGTGTTCCAAAAGTTCTGAACACGTGCCCTAATGAATCATAATTCGGTGAAAGCAAAACTTTTTCCGCGTTATGAGAACTGGATCAGGATAAAAGTTCATCTGTTGCTTTCGAATTGAGTTCTTAATTGACGTCATGTTAAGCTAATCCCCGTCATCAAGGCGATGAATCGCCCTGATGATGGAGGCAGTATGACCTCCGAAACGTTTTTAAACACGGCGCAACAACCCAGAAGACAATTCTTCATACTCACCGCTGTGAAAACCTCAGATCTTACACATTAAAATAGATCATAGAGACATGGGATTTGAGGAGGTTAATTGGAGCATTTTGAATAAAGACGGGGTACAGTAAAAAATTGTTTTGGTCGCGGTAATGAAATTCGGAATCCATAAAAATCGGGACATTTCTTACCTAGCTGAGGTACTATTAGCTTTTAATGTGCTCATTTTATAAACATCGACAAGAAATCGATCGTGGACCAAAAATACTTATTTGCCAGATGTAGGGGTAAGAATAACTTATTTTATTATCATTAATGCAAACCACAACACTGAGAATAATTTAAAAGTATTATCATGGCAGCAGTTATTGTCGAAAATCCCTTAACAGCTTTACCATGTCAACGATTACAATTATTTATAACAGACACACATTCTCTTCTTAATAAAATAACAGAAAACACATTAAATAATTTATCACTTTGGATGCTCCACGTATTTAAATGAGGCAATGGTCCACATGTTGCCAGAACGATTATAATCTCCACCAAACTAATTCGAACTGTAAAAGTAAACGTCCTGGGAGTTCTTCTGCACTGGCCTCGAGTTACTGGTCATACGCCCATCGTGTGACATGAGCTTCCTGAACTCGGCCAGCTGTTTAGGAACAGATTTGTAGCACTTTATAAATATTGACATTCACAGCGACCGAAGTTCATAAATTATTTTAATGATAATGGAGAATAATATTAAAGTCCATCGCTCCAACAGGAGCAAAAGTTGTCTACAAGTTTTACCCATTTGCTCTTGTCATTTGCAATAGGTCGCAGGGGGAGTGAAGTGACGCTACACGATGGCTAATAGAACCCCTCCTCCCCAAATATCAGGTGGACTCTGTTACCACAAACGAGGCTCTGGTGACCGAGTATGGGTGGGATAACCCTACCATCTGGTGCGGAGGAAATGCCCACTACAATCGGCAGTGAAGATGGCAGCCCCACCTCCAGGCAAGGGTGCGTTAGGCCAACAACCTGACCGTTGCGAATTTAAATATGTTTTTAAAATGTCTACAACGAAGATGACGGAGAAACGTACCTGGAAATATTCACAGTTACACTTTCTTCTGTGCATAAAGGCCCGGTCGTGTTTCTTTCGCATAATCAAAATCAAAATCACCCACAAACTACAGCGACGTTTTATATCAAGGGCTAATAATAAAAGTGAATTTCGTTTCGGTTTATTGTAAAACCCTCCCCTTATCAAACAAAAATTAGTTTATTTATATTTATTTGTTTGTTGTTTATATAACGGAGTTCTCAGCAGCTCAAGGTTTTTTTGCGTCAAATATTGGGATGAATAATTAATAATGAAGGGACTGATCGAAGTTTAATTTAACGTATTATTTGTCTGGAGGGGCTGAGGAGAACCACGAATAACTTGTTCAGGGTAGCCGTCTTAATACCGAGATTCGAACCTGGTTTGTTCGAAATACGTATATAGTTCCATCAAACCGAATTCTGGTCGGTCGTCGTGTTACTGTATATTTTAAAAATATTTGTTTATAAAAGTCCCCCCCCCCCAATATTCGTTACCACACAAAATTTTAACATGTTGTAACATCAGTCCACGTAGTTGTTATTTTGATATCATTGATGGTATAAAATTACGAAATTTTAAGGAAGTTTCTCTGTGACGGCACAACTATAATTAAAATTCGTCAGTAATTCACAGACAGACACAGACGAACGGATTAACGGGCAAAACTAAAGCCTGTTTTCTCCTTGAAAAAACAGGGACGTGAGCATTTTCGGGCTGTTTTTGCTGCTGGTTATCGCTTTTGATAGACTGCGAAATACTCGCCTGTCTGCTGGAAATTGCGAGAGCCTCTGGCTGAATTATCCACAAGACACTCTCGCTGCAGGGCGGATGCGTCAGAGAGCCGTTGTAAGTGTAGTAGTTGCTGCAAAATGGCTCGAAGAACCAGTTCAAAGGAAAGGCCGGGATTGTCACGTTGCTCCCAGGCGAGGTGATGCGCCACAGGTTGTAAACCACGCGGTCCAACAGGGGATTGTCCACGGGCATTAACTTCGAAGACGGAAATAAAAAGTTTAATTAACATTAATCTCCGTGAAACACAAAACAGGATAAATTGACTACGCGTCTTCTGAAGATGGTTGTCTTCTGGGCTGTTGTGCCGTGTAAATCGATTGAAGTTCCGACGTTTCATCGCCCTGATGATGGAGGAAACAAGGACCCCTGAAACGTTGGTAAACTTCTAAGAGACTACGCGGCGCTACAGTCCAGAAGACGGCAGAAAGTACAGCGTATAGGCTAAGAGCTGGGCGACCGTGGTTTGATTCCTGGCAGGTCCGGATTTTTTTTATTTGCTACAATATCCAGACCGGCCACCGGCCTTGTGGGTCACCAACTCTCCAACCCAATGCGTACAGGTGTTCTTTCTTCGTGCGTCATCCTAACCACGCACCTTCATCTAGTGGTGGGCTTAGGAATACGCAAAGTTATACCCCGAAATGTCTGCTCGGCGTGGTGTTTGGTTTATCTCACCCGGAAACAACTCCAGATGTCTGACCTTAAATAGGAAGGAGACGATGACAAGGCCGTCCTTAGCGCCAGACCTGATGGCGCTCAGAGGCGTGGTGAATCCCTTCTTGACGTGAACCATCTGCAGCTCCATAGCGTAGCTCCTGTTATCGACGGTATGTTCACTGCCCTCCTCGTCCTCGGGCCCCCAGCGGAATAAGATGGTATGAAACCCGTACTGTTCATTCAGTGGTCCGCAGATGATTGTCGGCCACAAGGCCTCGGGCCACTGCGCCCTCACCAACACTAAACAAAACACGATATATACTTGGAGCAGAACCTGAGATATATGTCTCACTGTTACGTGTTAATTTCCACAGACGAACTATACCTGTTTGGCCATCGTTGAAGATTTTGATGCAAGAGGGTGGTATGTGGTAGTTAAACCACAGCAGGTCATCGCTGTCGTTCACGACCAAGGCCTTTTTCGTCATCAGGTTTATCGGGGACTGGTTCTTGCCGTCGCATTCCGGATAGTAATTCCGCCATGTATGAGGACCTGCCGAGGAAATCGTCGTAGTAACACAACGGTTGATGATGACGACAGGTTGGGTTCGAATTTTTAACACGGCATCGGTTAACTAGTGGTTAGTCAATTTCTATCGGATTATTTTAATTACATCATTATTTGATAGGACAGACCAATTGTTTAAACTCGAATGCTTCTTTAATAGTTTAGTAGATGCAGAAGTAATGGAAGGACAAAGACCATGAAATGAGGACATTTATAATTTTATTCTGAAGGTCTCCGGCGATGGTGAAATACACACAATGTTTCGAGGAATGAATCTGTCCTCGTCTTCATGTGTAGTGCAGTACCATGTAGGCTCCGTTAGAATGACCAAATCCCAATTAGGCGGTTTATAATTTCAGTTAAGTAACCCGTGGCCTAGGCAACACGGAGTTTTCCTCATTGGCATCCCAACAATTACTCCATTCACACACAGAAGAAGGCAATGGCAAACCCCTTCTGGATCATCTGCCAAGAACGTATATGAACAGGTCCCAGTCCGAGAAAAGGATGGAAGGATCCTGTTCATATGGACCTGTCGTCAGACAGAACACTAAATAAAATAAATAAATAAAATGCATACAAGAACGGACGAACTTGTGACGGGGCATGAGATAATAAATATGCAAGAAAATTATTTAAAAACAAATCTTAAGATGTGGACTGAACCGAACTTGCTTTGAGCAGACGTAATGGCGGGCTTTTGTGAGAGCAGAAACGCAACTTGGGATACCTGATGATTTTAATGACACCAGAATTTAACAAATCAGAATATTTCTTAAACAGGTATATTTTAATATTCTTTCTTTAATTATAAGAAGTAGGACTGTGTTGTTTGAAACAGGAATTTAAGTCTTTCTAAATTTATATCCTGCACAATAATGTAAATATTCGATAAGACGCTAGTACTTAATTTGTAACCTGGGCTCGAATTGTACGCGTACATCTCCTAATTTCTATCCATTGCACTTTTGCCTCTTTTCTAATATTTACTGTATCCCGTGTTTGAAGCTACGACCCGTCCACTTTAACCTTTCTTAGTTCGCTAAGCTAATAGACTCATACCAGGTGGCAATATGTACATTCATTCCGTCCAAAAACACCTCCATTCACAAAGTTATTTCGTACCATTGTGATTGGCATAACCATAACTGAAAAACGGCTTATCATGTTCGGCGCAGAAGAATTCAAGGCCCCAGTCCACAATTATGGACAGCAGGAAAGCTATAAAGAGACAAAACCAATTAATAAGTTGTCGATTTAACATTCTGATAGTTCAGGTCTATAAACAAAAGGAATATTTTCCTCCAAGATTTATCAAACAGTCAAACCTACATCATTTTATGACATTTCATAATCATAATTGGCACGTAAGTGACGAGATCAGTGTAGCAGTATTAATCTGGACTTTTGTAGAGAAGTTAGTAGGAACAAATCTCGGCCGAGGTATTGGATAACATGACCGACGTTTTTCGTGGATTTTTCACACCGTCTAGACCGATTCCGGGTCAGTAATTTTGATAGACAACGACCGTCTTTTTCCCATCTCCCTGCCTCGTCTCCATATTGTTTTGCACCTCTGTAAGTCATCAATATTGCTACTGTTGACCATAAGATAAAAACTTATAAATATAGCGTTAAAGAATAGCTAACGTCACAATAGTAATTTGGAATTTTCAATGCACATTGTTGAACGATATAAATGAGCCAGTCATAAACGACAAGGATAAAAAATTAGTGTTATATTTGTGATGAGTTAAATGAAAACTCCTTCAGTTCTTTCACATAAATTCTTGAACAACGGCATAAAATGTTCCCAGTGACACGCTGCTCCAAACTCACCTACTACAATGGTGCAGCCGCATACAAGAAACAAATCCGTGAAACTGAAGTTTGGCATGTTGACTTTCGATTACATCATACTATTCTCGTTTTGTAGCTCCAAATTACTGTGCGAACTATGCCTGCAATGTATTTTGTAAGCATTTACAATAAAGAAGACATACCATGAGTTACAGCCATATCACACATATTTTAGAAAAGAGTCAACAAGTGTATATAGTCGAGAACAAACACAAACGTGTAGACAGTGGGCTTGAAATGTCCCGATTCATGTAACAATGGATACACAAAGTCAGAATTTGTTCTTTCGAAGGTGTGGAGTGATATTATCTTACGGGGTTTTGTGTAATGTAGAGGTTATGAGATCACCTTTCAAGGGGTCGCTATCGGCGTACGTGTGTGTCAATGTGTGAATATTATAAATGAAGGACACAGAAATGATTTCTTCATTCTTTGACCTGAAAACATTGAATTTAAATAAAAAACCAATAATTAAATAATAATGAAATTTAAACTTTTAGCATGCTGACAAACTTTATATAAAACTAAAATTTTAATACTATCATAGGCAATGGCAAATATTCCGGCCTTGCTATTAGTAAGCCTCCAGATTACTGAAACTGGAGGATTATAAAAGAACTTTATTTTCATCAACATGTGGGTTATATATATTTTCGGAAATTTTGAAGTTGTTAGGTCCTATTGCTTTACTTTTTCATCTACTGAGAGTCTTTTAATGTTCATTTTACCTCAGATATAAATTTTAATACGCTTCCGTGCTCTTCTACTGACCTCATCAAACTCGAGAGCATTCAGGGAAAGTTCTTAGACCTGTGTCATAATAGTTTCCATATATTAATACCAAAATCCATTATAGTTATATGAACGCATTAAAACACCGGGATTTCCATACAATATGCACTACACAACATACACTATGTTTATAATGGTTTTAAATTGTCCCACCTGACTTCAGACTGTTGGGATTCACGTTCTTATTCATAAATTTAGAGATTTTCCTGTTTTTACGTTTGGTTCCTGGAATAAACTTGATTCTCTGCTAGTTGAACATCAGTCGCGAATACCGTTTGTAAATATATTCATATATTTAAAAAAAACATATAGCTACACATATCACACTTTAGAGTAACTATAATATGTTTATGGTGTTAGTGTCACGGATTTAATTTTGTTTGGGATAATGATGTAATTTTTATGATAATATGTTTATTATTATCTTAGTATGTTACACAGCCTTCCTTATGTACGTTCTACATGGTGTGGAATGTGTCCGTGTAGAGAATGTTTCAGGTAAAAACTTTATGGCGCTTGTTGGAAGATTGACGTCTAGGTCTCGTGTGTGTTCTTCTTTTGTTCAGAAGTTCGGCAGGGTTCGATGCTATTGAACAGTTGCAATTTTCTATCCTATCGTACAGAATTTATGTTTTAGGGTAAGTATTTTAATGTTTTTAACATTTAACATTCACATACTGCGTTTGCGTCGTGAATTAGGAGAAACGTATTTTGATGGCAGTCTCTGTGGTTTTCCCCAAACTTTAATATACACATTTTTCAATTTCAGCTACATTACAGTCTGATATAATAATGTTTAACCAAAGTACACTAGGAGCATCTTCAAGTTTTGGAGCTACTAATACTCCATCATCAGCTAACCCAATGAAAGATTTTGAGGTTACTTCACCGCCAGATGATTCTGTATCTTCACTAGCTTTCAGCCCAGCCACAATTCCACAAAACTTTCTTATTGCTGGAAGCTGGGATAACAATGTAAGTCAACTCAACTATGAATGTCTGATGCATGTTTACAATTTTTGAAGAAGGATTGAGTTGTGGTATTTGACACTTTCTGTTAACACATTGTTTACATATGTAGAACATACATCCTTTTTGAGAATCATGAGAATATGTTGTATTTGAAACACACAAAATCCAGTATGCAGCACAGCTGTATGTTGCTGTGATCAATAACAACCATTTCTGAATTTAAATTCTTTTTATAGTTACCATAAAGTTGTTTTAATTTAATTATGGTTATTAGCCTGAACAGAAACCAATGAAACATAGCCAAGGTAAACTGGGCATGGTGTTGTAGCTTTCCCAGTATACAGTATCATTTAAAAGAAGTTCATGAAGTGAAATACTTAAATGATAGTTGTCAGACATTACCCAACAGCAGACAACATACACTTAGTACATAAAGCAGAAAGAGATATGAATAAAATTTTTATATACCTATTCACTGATTTATACTGTAGGAATATATTAGATGAAAAGGAGAAAACTATAAAACTGTAACTTATTCCTCATTAGCTTAATCCTTTCAAAAGGCAATAAGTACTCAGCTGTTAAAGAAATTATTTTTGTTGTTATGAGACCTGATATCTTTAAGACATTATAAATCTTATGCCACCCAATCCCAATGTTGGAGAATTGCCCTTGTTTATTCCTAACTGCCTTGTTTTTAGCTATACGCCTTTGCAACAAATTGAGGATGTGCCTTGCTGACATGATGGGCATCAATTGGTATAGTTCTATTGGTTACAAATTATTGATATTCTGAAGAAGTACAAAATAATTAGGATACACATTTTCTGGAAATTAGAGATTTAAGAAGTCCATCATTTCCTTTCACAAATGTGAAGGCACTGCAGCTTGTTGGAACAGCAAGACATTGGGAACCACTTCTTCCAAAATAGGCATGCCTAGGTTCACTTTGCTAATCTCAGTATGTTTGGCAGGAAAGGTCCAAACACATTTTGTTTGGACAAAGCACAAAACATGTTCAAGTTTGGACTCTCTTGTATGCTTAGTACTATAATTAGGATGACTGAATGTAGTGCTTCAGGTGGAAAGCTCAAGTAACTTTAATTATGAATTTGATCATATAACATACTCAAGTGCATTTTCTTTTCATTCTTTTGCCTTTTGGTTCATAGGCAGTGTTAGCAGTAAATGGTATATATTTCATGTGTACATCCCATGTACAGAAGCCTAATGTTATTTGAGAAGTTTCATTCATATGTAAGGACAAAATTATTCATTTTTATGCTTCCTTAGATGGGAGGCATGCAGAATAGATTGACTGGATATGCTTATCACATGCTGAGCCTTTGGATTATGTCGTAGGTCATTCAAATAATGGTTAAATAGGCAAGTTGTTTGGGAAAATAGCTTCCAAATGAAGTAATATGATGGTGATAAGCTTAAGGTACCAAGTTACAGGTAACTTCAGAAAGAATAATTGTTTCTCAAGCCATTATTTTCATATTGCCTTATTTATAAACAAAATATATACCATTTTTACATTCAGTTTTAAATAGTATTTTGACAGTGTTCTGAGAAACATATATGGAGCACTGGACATTAAAAAGGATGTTTAAACACTCAGTTCATTTAGGGTTCACATAGAAATAAACCTCAAGATTAATTAGAAACTCAACATTTTTTATATTATACATGAAAGCAGATTATAGCTGGACTTTAAAATTGCTGAGTTAGTGTACATCAATAATGGAAAGTTTTATTTTTTAAATACATTTATAAAGGTCTAGAAGTTGTACGGTGGCTTGAGAAAGAAGAATTGATATGGAGAATTGGAGGACGTTGACAGACTTTTTAAACCGATATATGTTATGAATGACGGTTTGAATTGCATTTTTTGGAAGGTTATGTATGTACAGTAATTTATTTATATGTCAAAAGTAAGTTATTTAATGTATTTTTTCAGGTCCGATGTTGGGAAGTCGAACAGACTGGTAAAACTATCCCCAAGTCCATGCAGACAATGCAGGGTCCAGTTCTGGATGTTTGCTGGAGTGATGTAGGTGACAATTTGGTGTCATGGAATGGCATATCTAGGAAGACAAAATTGAAGTTCATTTGTGTGTTTATGTCAGCCTTCTGCTTCAGTTTGGCTCTCTTGCTTTTATTCTTGTAGACAGTGAATGTTGCTAATACAGTGATGGGGGCTGGCTTATGAGTTCTTGTAGTCAGAATAGTTTCATTTCATGAAGTGGAAGTTCATATAGTGTACATTAATTTATTTTCTTATACAATGTGTAATATGGTGTTTATATGGTTTTAAAACTTGTTTTTTTAAAGAATAGTGTCAACATTTAATTTAAAAAATGTTTCTAGTTATAATTAGTCATTGAAATACTTTGTCTTCTACAACATATTATCCAGTTACTGGAATTTCTTCATAGACAGAGAGAAGCCACATGCAAAGCATTTGTCATTTGTATATTTTAAGGAGCTCTTGTAAAGTACTGTGATGTATATAATTGCATTTTAATCATAAGTTTTCTTATTTACAGGATGGAACCAAAGTGTTCATGGCATCTTGTGACAAGATGGTGAAATGCTGGGACCTGAACAGCAATCAGACAATGCAAGTGGCAGCACACGATGCTCCTGTGAAAACGTGTCACTGGGTGAAAGGACCAACGTACTCCTGCTTGATGACTGGCTCCTGGGATAAAACTCTCAAAGTATTTACTTTGACTTTTTCAAATTTTACTGGAAATTTTCATGTGATGGTATAATAATATATTAGTGAATTATACTATTTAAAAGCATTGAGGTGCATTATTGCAGAAAAGAGGGAAACGCGTATCTTAATACTGCCAGGTCATATGATCTAAGTTGTCCCATACATGCCTGGAATTTTTCAGTGTAAAAGAAATTCTAGGCATCATAGGGCTCAGTTATGCTCTCAGACAAACAGCATATTCAACATAATTTATAAACATTAAGATGCTGTTATTTTGAAATGTAATAAATAAATGCATTCTTAAAGTATGTTACATGTCTTATTTGATTCTCTGATGCTTCCAGTTTTTGCTAGTGGTGTTATATATGTTTTTATGAACTTTCTGGCTTGGTTTTTGGAGTAGAGCACAGTCCTTAAATTGATTGCATGTAATTAAGAATCACCCTGGTATGAATTATTTATACACAAAACAGAAAGTGGCCCAAGCATTCTTGAAAGTAAATGGAAATTTAAAGGAGAGATTATTTATTAAAAGGAATGCACACTTCAATTCAGCAATAATAACCTCAAGTTCATAGGGTCAAAGTTGAAAGAGTTCTTACTTCTCATACTGTTTAGTCAAAACAAGAAGCTGCAATATATATTTTGTGTATTCCTGCATGATCTCCATTGTTTTTGCTGATTTTTTAAAAATTTTACATTATTATTTGTTTTCCAGTTCTGGGACACTCGAAGTCCAAACCCAATGTTGACAATAAGTCTTCCAGAACGAGCTTACTGTGCAGATGTTGTAAGTATTATAGAAGGGAATCTGATACTGATATTATTTGAAGGGCGAGGTATACAGTCGGTAGACATTAAGTAGCAAGCATTCCCATATGACATACATGGAGTGTCATTGCAAGAAATTACACACGACCTAAAAAATATATTAGTAAAAAATACTTTACAGACGTGTATAGAAAGCTGTGCAAGGTACATGGGCACATGTAAATATCACTTAAGTTAGGAAATAATAAGCATTTTTAGATGCATTTTGTTATCAGTAGTATCCTTCAGCTTTGCTGTTGCCATTTGTGTGCATGTACCATGTACTCTGGATTAAAGGATTTTTATGGTACTTTGTATTGTGAGTCCATGCTAAAATTTATATAGTGTCTTTGAAACAAACTGATTGGCCTCTCATGTCATAGGTTTTCAAAATTACTTCTCTTTCTGTGGCCAATGAGAACATTATTTGTTCCCCAGTGCCTGAAACCAAACTACAGTCAGATAGTCAATTATTTTAAATTAACAAGGTTTTGTTGTATTCAAGACACCATAGATCTTGAAATGGTATGAGTCACATGAAAGTATATGAAGTCATGTTTAACTGTAGTTTCTAAAAGATCTGATGGCATAGACTAACTTCAGTCCATTTAGTCCCTTGTATTTCTGATTGCATTAATATTATGGCATAATTGTTTTGTGACAGGACTACCCAATGGCTGTAGTTGGGACTGCAGGTCGTGGACTGATTGTTTATCAGTTAGAAGGCAAACCACAAGAATACAAACGCATTGAATCACCACTGAAATACCAGCATCGTTGCATCGCCATTTTTCGCGACAAAAAGAAGTCTCCCACGGGCTATGCCTTGGGAAGTGTGGAGGGTCGTGTAGCAATTCAATATGTAAATCCACAAAATCCCAAAGACAACTTTACTTTCAAGTGTCATCGCTCAAATGGAGCTCCTAATGGCTATCAAGATATTTATGCAGTAAGTACAGTATGTCAAAATGTGCTGCATTATCTGTCATGATTTTATACTGAGAGTTGTTTTAATGCAGCTGCCATGTTCAATTGACTTTCATTATAAATTCACTCACAAATGGCATAATAAATGCGAGCTTTGTTCCTACATGAGTTAAAGCAGAATTTTAATATAATAGAAGCTCTGTCTGTTTGTACTTGTAAGTTTAATTTAATACCTGTATCTTGATTTATTTGTATAATGCATGTCTCTGTTTACCACAGGTGAATGATATAGCTTTTCACCCAGTTCATGGAACACTGGCAACTGTTGGCTCAGATGGGAGTTTCAGCTTCTGGGATAAGGATGCCCGTACAAAACTTAAACCATCAGAGGCCATGGAACAACCAATTACTCGTTGCTGCTTTAATAGTAATGGACAGATCTTTGCATATGCTGTCAGCTATGATTGGTCAAAGGTAAGTTATCTATGAACTAGTGATAGATTAAATATCTTCATACATTCAAATTTAGTAAATATCACTAATGGTGTCACTCGGTGACTGGAAGCTGTCATATGTGGGAGGCAATGCTTCCTGTGTAAGCTGTGTGCATGTTCGTGCACCTCCCACCTTTCTCGTTGTACGTGATGAGCTAAGAATTTTCTCAGTGTTCAGCCATTTTACAAATTGTTATTTTGTCATTGTCATGTTGGCTGAATTTTACTTTTATTATGTACTGTGGTTATATATGAGCTCAGCATATTGTGCTGTATATTAATATTTATAGGCATTGTTACTTAAAATTCTCGTAGTATGTTTAAAAGAAAAGAAACTTTCTGCACAGGACATTCAAGATTATTTTCTAAGTATACAACAATTCCTTAAAGTTTGTCACAGCAAGTATTATGCCTTTGAATTTGAAGAGTGTATTAACTCTGCCTTAGAAAAACAGCTTATGGATGAATTTCGCATATCTTGATTTTATACATTGACAGTAGACAAAAGTATATAATTTTATTTATCCCAATATTTATAAAAAGCCGTAAAATAATAATTTAAACTCTTATATGAGATACATTCATGTGTGCAGAAATCAGTATTTGCATGGATAAAAGAAAGTCTGCAGCTTACCACACATTTATGGCTGTTTCCCTTCTCATAAGAAATTGAATCCTTACACACATCATAAGCATTCTTGAAAGTAAATGGAAATTTAAAGGAGAGATTATTTATTAAAAGGAATGCACACTTCAATTCAGCAATAATAACCTCAAGTTCATAGGGTCAAAGTTGAAAGAGTTCTTACTTCTCATACTGTTTAGTCAAAACAAGAAGCTGCAATATATATTTTGTGTATTCCTGCATGATCTCCATTGTTTTTGCTGATTTTTTAAAAATTTTACATTATTATTTGTTTTCCAGTTCTGGGACACTCGAAGTCCAAACCCAATGTTGACAATAAGTCTTCCAGAACGAGCTTACTGTGCAGATGTTGTAAGTATTATAGAAGGGAATCTGATACTGATATTATTTGAAGGGCGAGGTATACAGTCGGTAGACATTAAGTAGCAAGCATTCCCATATGACATACATGGAGTGTCATTGCAAGAAATTACACACGACCTAAAAAATATATTAGTAAAAAATACTTTACAGACGTGTATAGAAAGCTGTGCAAGGTACATGGGCACATGTAAATATCACTTAAGTTAGGAAATAATAAGCATTTTTAGATGCATTTTGTTATCAGTAGTATCCTTCAGCTTTGCTGTTGCCATTTGTGTGCATGTACCATGTACTCTGGATTAAAGGATTTTTATGGTACTTTGTATTGTGAGTCCATGCTAAAATTTATATAGTGTCTTTGAAACAAACTGATTGGCCTCTCATGTCATAGGTTTTCAAAATTACTTCTCTTTCTGTGGCCAATGAGAACATTATTTGTTCCCCAGTGCCTGAAACCAAACTACAGTCAGATAGTCAATTATTTTAAATTAACAAGGTTTTGTTGTATTCAAGACACCATAGATCTTGAAATGGTACGAGTCACATGAAAGTATATGAAGTCATGTTTAACTGTAGTTTCTAAACGATCTGATGGCATAGACCAACTTCAGTCCATTTAGTCCCTTGTATTTCTGATTGCATTAATATTATGGCATAATTGTTTTGTGACAGGACTACCCAATGGCTGTAGTTGGGACTGCAGGTCGTGGACTGATTGTTTATCAGTTAGAAGGCAAACCACAAGAATACAAACGCATTGAATCACCACTGAAATACCAGCATCGTTGCATCGCCATTTTTCGCGACAAAAAGAAGTCTCCCACGGGCTATGCCTTGGGAAGTGTGGAGGGTCGTGTAGCAATTCAATATGTAAATCCACAAAATCCCAAAGACAACTTTACTTTCAAGTGTCATCGCTCAAATGGAGCTCCTAATGGCTATCAAGATATTTATGCAGTAAGTACAGTATGTCAAAATGTGCTGCATTATCTGTCATGATTTTATACTGAGAGTTGTTTTAATGCAGCTGCCATGTTCAATTGACTTTCATTATAAATTCACTCACAAATGGCATAATAAATGCGAGCTTTGTTCCTACATGAGTTAAAGCAGAATTTTAATATAATAGAAGCTCTGTCTGTTTGTACTTGTAAGTTTAATTTAATACCTGTATCTTGATTTATTTGTATAATGCATGTCTCTGTTTACCACAGGTGAATGATATAGCTTTTCACCCAGTTCATGGAACACTGGCAACTGTTGGCTCAGATGGGAGTTTCAGCTTCTGGGATAAGGATGCCCGTACAAAACTTAAACCATCAGAGGCCATGGAACAACCAATTACTCGTTGCTGCTTTAATAGTAATGGACAGATCTTTGCATATGCTGTCAGCTATGATTGGTCAAAGGTAAGTTATCTATGAACTAGTGATAGATTAAATATCTTCATACATTCAAATTTAGTAAATATCACTAATGGTGTCACTCGGTGACTGGAAGCTGTCATATGTGGGAGGCAATGCTTCCTGTGTAAGCTGTGTGCATGTTCGTGCACCTCCCACCTTTCTCGTTGTACGTGATGAGCTAAGAATTTTCTCAGTGTTCAGCCATTTTACAAATTGTTATTTTGTCATTGTCATGTTGGCTGAATTTTACTTTTATTATGTACTGTGGTTATATATGAGCTCAGCATATTGTGCTGTATATTAATATTTATAGGCATTGTTACTTAAAATTCTCGTAGTATGTTTAAAAGAAAAGAAACTTTCTGCACAGGACATTCAAGATTATTTTCTAAGTATACAACAATTCCTTAAAGTTTGTCACAGCAAGTATTATGCCTTTGAATTTGAAGAGTGTATTAACTCTGCCTTAGAAAAACAGCTTATGGATGAATTTCGCATATCTTGATTTTATACATTGACAGTAGACAAAAGTATATAATTTTATTTATCCCAATATTTATAAAAAGCCGTAAAATAATAATTTAAACTCTTATATGAGATACATTCATGTGTGCAGAAATCAGTATTTGCATGGATAAAAGAAAGTCTGCAGCTTACCACACATTTATGGCTGTTTCCCTTCTCATAAGAAATTGAATCCTTACACACATCATAAATCAAGCTTGGAAAGTGTATTCCATACCAGAACATGTTACTGTCTTTCATTCTTTGCAACACACATTCACAAGGATTACTTCTGCCTTGTCCCATAAAGTAAATTTATATATTTTGAAAATTTTTAAATTTTAAAAATTTGGAAACTGCCACAATTTTAAAAAAAATTTGAAATCCAGAATTAAAAATGTTTTAATTCCCACATTTAAAGTTCCTACATAAACATTTATTATAATCTAAACTTCTTTAACTAGAACTAAATAGACAAACCTAACCTAATATGACTGAAACCAATGACCTATCATGTCCCAGCATAAATAATCTTAACATACAGAAAGACTTTGTCTGATTCCCACTTACATCAATGTGAACCATGATTATCATTCTAACCACAGTAAATATTCAAATAATTCATAACAGTGGTCACCAGTGGTAACTATTATAAACAAATTAATTCCCACAACGGCCATCAGATTTCAGCACGTCAATGTGCACCTCACATATTTTCTCATCAATAATTTTGTTATCACCATTCGTAAGATATTCAAAGGTATGATTTTGAGTCATGCAGAACAGCACAACCTCCACATAAAATTTCATCCAAATCTGTCCATTGTTTCTTGAATTGCATCGACTTTGCAGGCGGATAGACATATATGACCAGCCCATGTATTCTTGCTATGCACTTCATGCTAGGAATGCATAAAAATAGAGGGAACCTTGGTGGGAGGTCTGTTGCGCAGACAACCTAAAAGGTCGTTTGGTTGGAGATACAAAACCAACCCATAACACAAATGTAAGCACTAAGTTTGGTAAGCCTAGCTTTGGTGATAAACTGTAAGTCTGCCTTGCATTCTGAAATGTATTTTCCTGTGTCATGTTATGTTTTAAGTTTGAAGTCTCAGTAGCTGAAAAACATTTCCTGTTGCATAAACACTCCACTTCAGTAAATTTTTCATAATTATTATAACTCAGATCCCTCTTAAGTTTCAGTACAGTAAAACATTCTTGAAAATAATAACTTTATACAATTTACTAATCTGTTAATTTATGTCAGTAATGCTTTTGATTGCATTGCCATATCCTAATTAGTTACTAAACATGGCTCTTAATTAAGGAGGTGCATAAATCCAAAAGTAGACATTTTCTTCCACCTAGATGGCCCTTATTTTTTTTCAGGTATTCAAATATGGGGAAAAAACCCTCTTATATTCAGGTAACTTTTCACGGTAAAAATACAGTGGAGCATTGATTATCCAGGGCAATCCAATTATCCGTGGCCACATTGTCTCTAATTATATTTTCTTAAGTACTTGTATCACTGCCATATATTGAATGCAACTTGGCTCATTGCCTCCAGTTTTTCATGGGTACATAAGGGGTAGGAAAAAAAAGACCAACAGAAAAATTGAATAAAAATTATGGACTTTCTGATAAAATTACATTAAGAAAGAATGTCTAGCAGTGAGAATACATATGTTTATATGTAAATACGTTTAACTGCTTTGATTACATGGATGATGCTAATTCGAATAAAGTATAATTTGCATTAACTGTGTTTCTTGATTGTCCGGGCCTCCCTTCCCCCTGGAAAATCAGCGCTCTACTGTATATGCAATGGATTGGACTTTAGTAATTGTTTCATTTCAGGGACATGAATTCTACAATCCACTGAAAAAGAACTACATTTTCTTACGATCTTGCTATGACGAATTGAAGCCTCGCAGCTCTTCTTAAATACATTTTATACAGAAGGTATCCATCCACATGCTATCTTTTTTAGTGGGCAAGGTTTCCATAGAATTGACACAGTTCTGTTTCCATTAAAACTGCATTTAACCATTATGTGTATACACTTACTTTTAGAAACAGGATTCTTTACATATATAATTTACAAATCTTGTATATACATATTGTTTGTGAATTCAAGTACAGAAATTTGTGTAATGCCCTTGTGCGCTTCATGCTCTGTAAAGACTTAAAGAATAATTTCATTCTTGAAACTGCGAGTCAATTCCTTATGTGGAAGAACAATGGAATTTAGCAGAATCACTTCAGAGGGCACTGTCACATTGCAGCCTGAAAACAAGAAAATTACATAGTCATTACTTGTTATACAAACGAAAAACCTTCCAAGTAAATTCATATGTTACATACATGTTGATAATTCAAGTGGCTCATACTATTTGTGATACTTCAAAAGAAAAAGCAAATTTAAATGAAGTTGCATTTAATACAATAAGAACTTTCCATGTTCCTGAGGCAACTTTCTTTTTAATTAATTTTCACATTTTCTGTCCAAATATGCCCCTATAAAATATTTTCATTTAAGAAGATTAATTTCTTTACATTGCACTATCATTGTGAATAATTTGAAAATCCAGTGGTTCAGCATGACTGTTTGGTATTTCATACTTTTATGCCTTCCCAGCCAAATTAAAACCTCCTGTGAAAACAGTCTGAGGATTGGTGAAGGGAGATTTTTCCTACCTTAGTATGCATTTTTTAATGAAATTTCATGTTCTAGTTGCACAAAATCTACCTCTTGATCACTTTTCTAATATTGTTCAGATTTATGAGAGTCAGGTAAATTAACCACATATACAAAATGGATTGTATTGTAATTAACAAAATAAGAAAAGATTCTAAATCAGTAAGCTCTCAGCAGAAACACCTATTAAAATTCTGAATCAATAATTAAAGGACTTAAAAAACTAAGTTTCTGTTTCATTGAAAATGAAGTGTTTTTGTTGAATTTCCTTTCATACTCTATACAACATGCATTTAAGACAATAATAGCTTGCACGTGGTTGTGTATCTTACGTGGAAATTTTAAAGCACATAGAATTATATATGAGGTTCATCAAACTTTGCCTGGATGATCCCTAACTACAAGCTGGTAAACCCATGGTGAAATTGCCATATGGCACTAAAATCATTACTGGTCTGAGCAGACTAGGTAGCATACTTCCAAGGTTTTATAATAACTTAAGCTCTACAGGAAGTATATTCAGTTTTGTACATATCATCAAAACCAATGATTCTGAAATTTGCCCACCAGCTATTTCCTTAGTACTCCTTGTTATGACCATGTCCACCTTTGCTCAGGAAACCCTAATACATAAATTATTATTATTAGACTTGAAATTTTGTAATTTGTTCATTATTAGCATTAAATTACAACTCTGTACCATGAAAATACAAACTATCATGAATAGTAAAGTATGGGCCTTATTTTTTAGCTAAATTTTGTTTAAAAATTAATCCCAAAAGTAATATGAATCGAAATTAGTATCAAGGAAAGAAAAGTTACTTTCAGGTGCTTTAATCTACCTGTAAACTGAAAAAATACAGTAGAGTCCTGATTATTCAACCTAAACAGGACCAAAGGATGGTCCGATAATTGAAAATGCCAGATAATTTGAAAGACTAATGAAAAACGAAGGTACACACCAACTTGATTTATAACTCAATTTATATTATTTAAATTATGATGAAAATGCAGCATAAAATGAAAGAATCTTATAAAAACATTATTTAATATAATGCAAATTTATAGAAGAGTTTATTTTTTAAAGAAATTAGTAATGGGTATTTGCTTCTGTACCACCTCCTTTTTGAGGCAAGGTCATGCCAGTGCCTGAACAGTAGTATGTCTGTAGCAACCGAGAATATAAAATGTAGAAAGTATGTGGTGGGGAGCATGATTCATTCTGGTACATGATGAGTTGGCTGATGATAAAATGGAGCATTCTGACATGACACGTTGGATAACCAAAGGTCAGATAATCAGGACTCTACTGTACTTTCAAAGACTGTATTACTACAGAATCAAAAAGCCAGACATCCAAGAACACATGACTGCTGGCATATAGCATCATCTTACCTAGAATTGTGATGGAAGGATTAAGTCTTCCATCAGAGTTAAAAAGTGAAGGATTCTCCATCTTAGCAAAAGGTTTGTTAGGGTTAGGGTCACAAGGTGTTCCTTCTACTCTTGCCCACTGTCCAACATGACTTCCACGTCCCACAATGCTGTGCAAGACAAGACTGTGGTCTGAGACTATGGCACCACTCAGCACTATGGATTCACGAACACGTACACCAGGACCTATTACAGCTCCAGCTTCAATGCTCACATTTGGACCAAGCTGTAAATACACAGAAATGTTGTTCATGCTGTCATCTACAGTTCTCTTTGTTGTTTTTTGCAGTTCTTGTTTGTTCTGAATACAGTTTATCAAATGTATTTCCCTAGATATACCATAACCTAACCCAACCTAACAGTAAAGAGAAAATTAACATAGTCTTGCAAAGCTGCTTTCATTGTTGACATCATTTTGTCAGGTTAACAACATCCATGTTGATGAAACTTTTTTTTTGTACTACTACTGTCACAATCCAGTGTGAAACAAAAGCTGACTCACAACTTTAATAATTCCAGATGTTGCATAGCAATAAGCCAAGATGAATTTTGGGATAGAAGACATATGAAAGGAAGCTTTAGGGTACTGGTATTTTCTAAGCAACCTTCTACACAAGAGCTTTATGAAAAGGAAAATATAATACTTGGCTTTGTGCAGTCACGGCTGAATTGGATGGAGAAACTGGAAAAGCTGCTGATCAGGAACGGATTGGGATTGCTAGAGATGGCATTATTAAGCATTTTGTTTTTGTAACTGAAAAATCTTCCCATAGCCATGTAATTTAATGAGCATTTTTATTATTATTTTACTTGCAATGTATGTTAATATCATAGTCTGTATTCAGTATACAGGGCTTCCCAAAAAGGTATACACATATTCAGTGAATGAAATAAAGACATTTTAATAAACTAAACCAGTATTTACATCAGCATTGGCACTTAGTGAATTCACGAATCTAGTGTAGGTGTTCAAAATGACCACTGTTAACTTTGTGGCACAGCTGACAGTGGTGAGCAACTGACTGACAAATGGCCACCAAAGTTGCTGTTGTGTAAAAATTTTTTGGGAATATTTAACTTTTGTAGAAAAATATTCTAAAATACAGTGTCATGGAGTAATGTGTAGATATGTTAGTGGAGAGTAGGATCATGCCTATAACTATGCCCTGTCCCATTACTTCCAACATTTGCAACATTCCCATTCTAAAACTCGTGCACATTTCTTATACATACTACACCTTATTTTATGTCAAGTTGATCTTGTTACACACATCTGTGCTAAGTACAATAACTATAAGAAACATTTTACTTCATGGGATTAAGTAGATTATGTATGTTAGTATTATGTCTTACTTTTACTTTCTTCCTTTCTGATTAAGATAAAATTGTCTGAGATGTGGAAGGTAGGAAATGTCATCCTAGTCTTTGCTGAGCTTCTCTATACTTTATTTTACTTATGATGACTGTAACCTTACTGTTGCAGTATTATGCACAGTGGCGGTGGGATGGATGTAAACATCTCCTATGATGTTACAACTCTTTTCCTTTCCTTCCTCGGCCGTAAGATCTCCCCGAGCAAGTCGATCTGTATGCCAAGAGTGGTACAATGCCAGATAATGTCTGTTAGCATAGATTGCAGATCCTGCAGTCTTCAGCTGGGACCACCAGTTGCTGGTCTGAAGTGCAAACACACAACCTGTTCCAGCTAGTGGCATCAGGACATCAGTCTCAAGGTAGATTACTGCAGCTTCCTTCCCATTTCCATTACCACCAGCATCACTGTAAAGTTGCATCAGTGATTCAGTAGTTCCTAGCCCATTCTATTTCATTTTCAGAATTGTGCCTACTTGAACATATTATGTCATTGCTATAATGTGGTTTCTGTTAGGGCTGTAGGCTGAGGTTTTATTGGTTCATCTCTCTCTCCGGAGTGTCAGGACAACTTTGTAAAAGGTGTATTCTCTGACAGAATGCAGTCATAAAAGATTGTGTGATGAAAGGATAAACATTTGTGTCACTAACACAGTTAATTTATTTAGTTGTGTAAAAACATGTAATTCTTGTCTTGATTGCATTTCAGAACACCCTCTCTAGATTTGCTACTGTTCTCACATGGTGCTTTGAACAGACCTCACTGTAGAAATTTTACATCCTCCAAACTTACTGCTCAAGATTCATTTGTATACTATCCTGACAGATTTTTCATGGTTTTCCACAGATCCACCAGGCAAATACCTTAAAGAAGCTCTGAATCACTCCACATATTTACCAACTTTCCATATTCAATCACATAATGTATAATTTGCTGATTAAAATTTAACAGGATCATTAAAAAAAAATTAACAAAACAAACAAACACAAATGTTATGTGCTTCAGTCACCTCTCCCCACTTTACATGACAAGGATATTTTTACTAACTTGTAGTATTCTTGTTGACGCATATTGAACACTGCAGCAAATGTCTGGAATATCTCAATGGAGCAGATGTAAACACCACAATTTATGAGTGTCGAAACAAATGTTGATGGCTTTTCAACATAATGTGTTACTTCTGATGTATCACGGTCCTGGACAATGCAGCCATAGTGCATCGACTGCTGCCGTGTCGCTTCTGTTGTCATAATTGTTACCTGTTTCATAATCAGATATTTGCAATGTTAAATTTTTGCCATTGCCATTGGACAGGATTTTGAGCCATTTCTGCCCATCTCCCATCCTGATATGTTTTTTATGTTATCTGTCCTAATTATTTGCTGCACCTATCTTAGTGAAGAAAAGCGAATTTAAATTTAATGATCTGAGAGCATCAAAATGCAATGAATTTATATTGTGAGGCAAAGAATTAATGTTGTCATACTATCTTCTTGGTTATCAGAGTGGTCATATGTGAAGTGGTTTCACCATCAATATTCCATATATTTCCTCTCTCATCCAATCTACAAATCCTGTCTCTTAGATTTCACTGTTTACCCTAACAGTAGGCACCTGTAGATATCACAGAATTCCTCATGTGCTATTTTAACCTGTCTGTTCATCTCTCCAAATAATTTCGTGTTATTAAAAAAAACTTGTGTATGTTCTTCACACATGTATTGCAAATATCTAATACTTCTTCAGAAATGGAAGTAATTCAAAATGGAGTATAGAAAGCTTATCATGAAACATATTCCCACCTAGCACACAGTGCCCTTAAAATTTTAGTCAGTCTGTCTCTCTATACATTCATGTGCATCTAAATTTGTAACATCCATGACCATAAGGCCTAAATAAACTTCATGTTCATCTTGTTAAATTTTAACCAGAATTAATGATTTAATGAAAGTTTTGCATTTGGAGGTTATGTTCACCTGGTCAAAAAAAATTCAGTTAGGTTGACAGGCTGTCTACACAACAATTTTTGATTACAGTCTCATTGTTTATTAAGATTCACTACATGTTTTAACATTAACTGGTCATTAGTTTAGCAGTCATGTCAGTTGTTTTGAGCACTTAAAGAGAATCACCTAAAGATGATCAATTAAGGTTCAAACATAGTGGCTCTTAATAAACATTAAGAGTATAACAAAAATTTGTTGTGTAGATGGACTGTCAACATAACAATCAACACACAACAGGATACATCCCTTAAAACAAAATATTTAGTGGTTTGTTCATCACTGTGTTCACAAAGGCCTGTCATTAGGCTCAAAACCTAGCCACTTTAATCAATTTGACATCTTAATGACCACCTTAGTCATTTTATAATTATGCTGTGATCTAAACCTTATGATGTGATGTAAACTCTCATAGTTTTCTAACCAAGCAACATGCATCATACCTCCATCATGACCTACTGTTCTCAGCACTTTCTTCTAAAACATACTCTATGTATTCCTTTAAATTTGATTTAAGGGTAATGACTTTGTGTCCAGCAGAAACAGATTTTAATTTTTGTTTATTATTTACATTTGACATACCAATGATGAGCCTTTCTTTTCTTTATGGAAATCTAACATTTCAACTAATGGAAAATCTGCACAGACATCTCCATTCAAGACAAAAAATGCCTCAGGATTTCCAGAGCGTATCTGATCTCGGAAGTGATACAGCCCTCCAGCAGTTCCCAGCGCAGTAAACTCCTGCAAATATCTAAACACAAAAGTTCTTAATGCCATATACACATGCATCAGCCAAAAAGTATGTATCTGTAAGTTCAGCTTACCGAATATTAACTTTGTACTCATTAACCATGTCTGTTACAAACTGAGCCAGTTCTGAGGCTGGGTAGTAACCTAAAACAAGAATTTCTTTCAGGTTTGGAATCTTGACACATGCTTCTATGTGGTGTTGAATCATAGGTAACCCAGCCACTGGAAATAGCGGTTTGGGTATATCTAGTGAAAGTGGGCGAAATCTTGTCCCTGGAAAAAATTCAAAATTTATAATATTACTGGAAGTTAATATATGCAACAGTGTATAATATTTTCTTCATGTTAGGCACCACTAATTATAAAAGCTCAAAGATTCATTCAGTAATTTTTTTCACTATAATACGTATGTTGAATTGACTGGCAGAGACTTGTGTTGGGTTAATATTAAAATGGTACCTTAGGGAAATAAATCTTCATGACAGACCTCACCGAAATAGGTTCTGATAATATGAACTGGCTTTTGTTGGATAAATTACATTTATATGGCATTCAAGGAATTGCAGCACAAGATCCTACTTAACATAGAAAACAAAAGGTCGAAATAAAAGTACCTAAAAACAAAACAAAATTCTCAAACTGGGGAACAATAAAACATGGAGTTCCAAAGGGTCAATTTTAGGGCCCTTGCTTTTTATAATATACATAAATGACCTTCCTCCAACAACAAATACTTTAACAGAACCCATAATATTTGCTGATGACACAAGTGTCATAATTTCTAATAACAATGTTGATGATTTCTGTTCAACATCAAACAGTTCTGTCTCATATGAGTATGGCCCTAAATCTAAATCTAACAAATAACTCGCCACAATATGCTTTAAGTATTGCTTATAATGGCAATTATATACAAGAATCAATAAATACAAAACTCATGGGTTTGTAAATTGATAATCTAAATTGGACAAATCATATTGATAAACTGATACTAAAAACGTATGTATGAGGATCAGGTCAAGAAATGACCTTTGCACTCAAGTAAACAAAGTCCTACGTCACAGTGCAAGAACATACTATAAATATACCAAATAATGAAATTAAAAAGGGCTGTACTAGGAGACAACAGGTTCTCATTCATTTCATCTCTCTTAGTACTTGCTGCAAAATATTTTACCAAACATTAAAAAGCATCTGCCACTGCTTACTCATAATCAGTTTTGCAATGCTGACAGAAAATTACTTAGCAATGTTTCAGTAACATTAACTTTAATAGGAAAAATTAGTATTCTTCCAATGATATATTATTTTTTGTTTTTTTAATGTAACCGACAATTGTGATATTCTCCTCTTCCAAACCACGTTTAATATCATATTCTCAGCAGGCACATCTTTGTATAGCTGAACCCGAACCTGTTTCTTCAGTTTTCCCTCAGATCAAAAATGAAACTTTCTTTGTATAGCTGAACCCGAACCTGTTACTTCAGTTTTCCCTCATTTCAAAAATGAAACAAGTTTCCGTAAAACGAAAACATATAGTGCACAATAAAAGCATATACCTTTCAGTGGACCACCGATTAATATCACTGCTTTCAACATTTTAATGCAGTGTGTAATAATTTATTTAATTCAGGCTGTCAGACTAGACATCCACGTAAACTTCCACGTATAATACATAAAACAAAATCAACAAATAACATGATTTAGAGGTTATAGCTTTAATAACCCAAAGGATTACAAGAGTGTCACAGTCTAAAATTTTCGCGAAAGCGCCATATTGTTACATCATATGCACCAAGATGGCGCTGTCATTGCAATTTGTATAAAGTTTCGTTATGACATTAAACGTACACGGTGTACAGCTGTATGGACCTGTAGTAACCACAATGTTCTACGAAACAACCGCAATGAATAACGACTGAAAATGGCCATTATTCAGCTGGGATTATTGTACACGAGTTGGTAAACCTTGATTTAAGAAAGAGTGATCGACGAAAATTTCCTGCCATCTTTGGGACGTGTTAATGCACTAATTGTGGAGCTAATCTTACCAAAAACCATATACTTAACTATAATAACAGTCACATTATTCAGATGATGAAAATTTTGTGTGATTTTTAGGTTTCTTTTATATTTCATTCTTACTTGAATGTGTTGTGATTTTTTAAATAATATTTAATCATTCTCTTCTAATAAACAATTCAATGGATAGATGACTCTGCTAATGTCTAATGTCAGTCCAGCAAGTCGTCTGCTGGCTGTCATTTGTCAGTCGTGAACTACGTAGCTTATCTACGGTAGGAAACGGGGATTCGCTCTTGAACATATGCGGTAAATTTGCTCTATGAGCTTCAGGTGCTTCAAGAATTTGTGATATTTCTAGTTTTTTAAATACCAAATATTTGAAAAGATGTCTGAAGAAGGACTGGAATATGATGCTATAATTCAAGATGGACCGAGAAAGGTGAGAGCATGACTTAATACGTGGAAGACTTTTAATTGTTCCTGGAAGCCGAAAAATAGAGTTTACGAACTTCTTTTTTAGTTTTCAGTGGAATGCTGCCCTTTTGTTTCATAAAAATAAATTAATACTGTTCAATAAGGATCACCGATTAACATGATAGGCAGTGCAGCTACAGCGAAAACACGCGGGGGCAATGTCCTATACTTTTGAGAAGGCTTCGTATGCATGTTTTTTTCAGAGTTTATTGCCCTTTATATGGAAAAAGGTCGCATTTATAATATAAACAGGGCAAACTTCGGTATACTACACTGAAAATTTACCCAGTTTGCGAACAAGACCACACTGAACAAATGAATCCTGTAAGGGAGCAATCTCTAACGAACGAACTCATTTCGAAGTGAGAAACTTCGAATTGCGTACAATTCAAGTTAATCGGTGTTGTGTTCAGTTCCTTGTATTTTCGATGATACTTCCTTTAAATTTATAATGGAAAGCATTTTATTACTAGAACTGTATACTACTTATACCAATAAATTTATTTGGTTTCCAGTGCTTAATTTAAAGTAACTGGTATAACCGGGCAATTTATATGGAAGTATAGCTCATAGTTAATATTCGTCAAGACTCGTTAATAGGTTTATGCACCTGTAGTGATATGTTTCCTTGTCAATCGGATCAAAATCGACATGAATAGACTTTCAGTGTCTGAATTTAGCGTATTTTTAATCATATATTCTCTTTTGAAATTACATAATTTTATTATCGAATTGGTCTCCAGCCAAGCTGCTGGCCGAATGAATTTTCGAACCCGTAAACACAGTACGCTGTGTTACTACGTGCTTTAAAATACAAACCAGTCTATACAATATCATGACAGGTAAACTGCCATAATGATATCCTAGTGTATCGTTTAATGGCAAGTACCTACTTAAAAACGCATTTTAGCAGGACGGTTGGAGCGGAGTGTGGCGATTCGATGTCGACATTTTCAAACTGCAGTAGGAAATTATTACACTATAGAAAAGTAAATTTTCCTTATGGCAGTAATCGGTTCATATAGACTAATATAGGTGTACAGGCATCCAATAATTGTTTTTAAAGAAAGGTATCGATCTCCAACTATAACGAAATGAATGGAGTTGATTAGTTTGATATTTTTGCCAAAGAGCTGACCAAGAAACTTAAATTAATGTGAAAAATGGATCAATATTAAAATTAGTTATTTTCTCGTCATAGTAACATACTTGTAACTTCGTTCTTTTTAAATTTTACTAAGAATGTCGGAATTACATACCACTGCGTACAACTAGAAGACCAAACAGATAATGATGTTCGTAAATATCTTCATGGCTTTGATGATTTAGGCTGGTCTTATCTGGTTCCAAATTTAATTGTAAATGTTCCATTAACAGACAAAAGTATTTGAATATATTTGTTTCTCAGTCACATCCATGGCGTATTTTGTCTCCTTTTCTTTGGGTTAATATAATTACGGATGAAATTGGCTAAATAACGGTCCGTCTTAATTTCAAATTAATGTTCTAATGCAGAGGTTCCCAAAGTGTGGGGCTCGCCCCCTGGGGGGGGGGGGGTGTTGTTTGTATGAAAAACTTTTTTTAACGAAATATGGAGAAACATTTTTAACATCCTTTTCTTGGTTGAGGCAGTTTAGTTGTCTTACAGTGCTGTATACATACAGCTAAATTTTATGTCAAATCTGTTTGCTTGCACTTATTCTGGAAGGGGGTCGTGAAATTTATGAAATGTTTTAAGGGGGCGTAAGGTATAAAAGTTTGGGAACCTCTGTTCTAATGTTTTCCGATAATGGTTGTCATTTTGCGTCTGAGGCAAGAAGGCTTACTGGCACGTATGAGAGAGAGATGCAGACGAAGACCAGCCACTCTTTTGAGGGTGGGATTTGAGGTTCTCATGGCTGCTAGAATGAGGGTGGGTTGGAGCGCCGTGTAGCCTGGTACAAGTTTGCTTATTCCGGTCTGCTAGTCCCGTCTAGTGTACGGCAAGTAAGCTTCTGCCAGACTACACGACTCACAGCCTTCTAGACCGAGTGTGTCCGAGAATAGGGTGCTGAACAGAATAGCTGTACGTAAGAGGATGAAAAATTAACAGGCCTAATAATGAGGTTTGTAGTTGGTTCTGTTCGCTAACGTCAGGGCGATCAAACTAAGGAAAATGAGGTTAGCGGAGCATAGAAGATTTGAGAATTCCGTGCATTATTGAAGTCAGCAAACCTGAAAGGAAGAAAGCTTTGGTGAGACCTGGCAGTAGATGGGAGGATATATTTGAATTTACTGTAAAGAAATAGGATGAGGGTGTGGCTTGATTTTGTGATAAGGCTAATGAACATTATAGTTCCTTATGTGGGAAAGAATTTCTTGATTGGCTGGGCATCTTTTAGGATCTGATGAATGACTTTCTCATGCTTATTGGCATTTAGGAGTTTAGTCCTAGCAGCAGTAGAACATTAATTTGAGAGTTGTCGTATGCTTTGATTAAACAATTGTTTAATTCGTTTAATGCGTTGGGAATCTCGGATAATCAATGCAGTTGGGTCGATTTTAATCCAATCATAAATTACAAAGTACAGAAATCAATGCAGTTGGGTCGATTTTAATCTAATCATAGATTACAAAGTACAGCTGAACATTTTTAAATGAACTTATGAAGAGTAAATTGTTTATAATCGTTGCTATTGAAACCATAACTCATCGTTTCTTTCCTGCAATATTATTGCAGACAAAACAGAAAAGAAGCCGACGTAAGCTACATCACGAACAAAGAGGTGTATCTCAGTGACCACGATCGTAATCTTGGTCACTTAGATAAGGCAGCGGCTAACGTTGCAAAGAAAGTGGGAGTCTAATTAATTTACAGAACGGTGCAGTCTATTTCCCAATGTTAATTAATCTGTTCATTTCCATACCAACATGAGCGTGTTATTCTCTCGAGTATAACTAAACATGTTGACGAAATTTCTGGGGCTGTGAGTGTAATGTTGATGCAATGGATCAACAATACATACATTTCGAATTTGTCTGCTGGAGAAAAACATTTGAATTAAAATTGGTCTGTAGGCTTGCTACAGCTATTTATCGCACTCCGACAGTGAACACTCGTTGCACTGGTGATAAAAACATCCTCGCACTTCGACAGCTGGCCGACTAGCGCGAGCAGGTTACAACATGACGTAACCTGCGTGGGCTTTTATACAGACAGTGATATTCTGTATTTATCAATCACCCTGTACTTTTGTTGTTAGGAAAATAAGATAATTGAATTTAACCGTGTAATACATTTGTGTATACAGAGAATATTCGACAACAAAGTGCTTAGAAGGGTGCATTACCCTAAGAGGGACAAAGTAACAAATAAATGCAGAAAATTGCATAACGCCCAGTTTGGACAAATGGATAGGATTGGTTTAGGGCAGTGGGATCCACAGTAACATTGCATTTCTTGAAGAACTGAGCCACTATCAGTTTCTCAAGAAAGACTGTTTATAAAGTCAGTTGTAATTCGTTCCCTAAGAAGAATCTACAAATGTTTGTATTTTATTATTCCTTCTTGGTAATATGATGGTTTAATTTATTTTATTTAGTGTTCTGTCTGACGACAGGTCCATATGAACAGGATCCTTCCATCCTTTTCTCGGACTGGGACCTGTTCATATACGTTCTTAGCAGATGATCCAGAAGTGGTTTGCCATTGCCTTCTTCTGTGTGTGAATGGAGTAATTGTTTGGATGCCACGGAGAAACCGGGGGAAGCCCCCGGAGGAAAACTCCGTGTTGCCTAGACCACGGCCTTGCCCAACAAAAGTTATAAATTCGGGCACCGCCGGGAATCGAACCCAAGACCCCAGTTGTAATTGTTCTTGCATTATCAACGTTTTATTTACGAAAGGTTATTTATCTCTTTTTATTGACCGCGATAGTCTCGAATGACGAAATGCAAATATTGCGCTTGGCTCCAAATGACACTTTACAAATTGCGCGTGCTGTCTCTTGACTAAAAAAATTCATACGACATACATTAGGAATCTGCTTATGAAGGTGCACAGGCTTGGGCTTTGTCGTATTTGTGATCTTAAGTCGAGGATTCCGTGTCAAATTACCTGAGTAAATGTGGCCCGTTCCAGCCTTATACCTCCCTATGTAGGACATCTCATTTTCTGGTTGAAACGATAACGTCTAGCCTTTTGCCCTGACAATGTAACGATCTCAGTTTTGTTTTATTTGTTTCTAAAATCCTCAGATGCGTTGCGCAACTCCGTACTGAACTAATTATGAATACAGAAGACAATAGACACGAAGACAGCCTGTGAATCAGGAGACTACAGAGTTCAAAATTCTGCATTCTGTTGCTTGACAGTCTTTGATTATAGTCTCAATGTTTATTAAAATTCACTACATGTTTCGATCTTAATAGGTCATCTTTAGGTGGTTCTCTTTCAGTGGTTGAAACTAATAGATATTAATGCTAAATTTCGTACATATTTGTTCCAGATAACATTCGCGATTTCTTTACAAGGATCGGGCGGGGCTGAGAAATGTATAAAAATTGAGGTCCTTAAACCTAAGGCGTAGATTTTATTAAAATGGACTCTAAGGAAATAGACTGGGTTGGATGTAGACTAGATGTGGTTTAGGAACGGTCGAGAGCTCTTGAAAACGGTAATCAACCTTCGTTTGCCATGAAACGAGGGGAATGTCTTCACTGCATGCTTCATGGTCGCAGCAAAACTGCGTATCGTTGCCAAGGCCAGTCGTGAAGTCTGCTCAAAACCCATGAGCGCTGTCCTGAAGATTTTGAGCCCCGTCAGTGGCCTTGAAGCATACAATATTGTGACGGCTACCATAGCCAAGCGACTGTTTTACGTCTCAAGATATGTTTTGGTCCACGAAGTTTGTGATGTGCCATGGACATGTGTGAAGTTTTAATTGAAATTTCACTTTTAGTTTGAAAAGAAAAGAGGCGAAACAG